TAGCTCAGCATCTCAGTTTGACAGAAAGATCCCAGCGCTGAGTTAGACCAATCATGGACAAGGAGGTAAAGGTAAAACTCTTATCCATATGCAGTGGGCTAAGATCAAGGTGTGTGGGTGTATTTGGGTAGTGGACTGCTGGGACTGTTGGCTCTAGGGTTGGCTTTGTTGTTTGCTTGTTTGTTGAGATAGGGTCTCTTTATATAGCACTGGTTGTCCTGGACCTCACTCTATAGACCAGGCTAGTGCCACGCCCGCTGCGCAGCCTGTGTCCAAGAATGTGCGGAGGGTGTCGGGGATTGACAACACAGAGACCCAAAGGCTCCACAAGAAGGCTCTCTTTTATTCCTACTCTGGCTGGTTATTATATACCCTGACACCAGAGGTGGAGGTGGGTGGGTCTGAAGAGGTGGTTAGTCTTTAGAAAAGGTCGAGGACAGGGTGGTTCCTGTGGGCAAGCCCTTTCCAGGAACTTACTGCCCCGGGCATTGTATTGTTTTTAGTAAACATTGTCTTACAGCTGCCTAGTCCCAGGCTGATGGGGAAGTGGGTCTCTGCTCAAGGTCTGGTGTCCCCACAGCTAGCCTTGAACTCACAGAGATCTGCTTGCCTGCCTCCTGGCATAGCTTTAAGAGATGCTTTTCCTTGTGTGTATATCCTGGTCTCAACAGACAGGTGCTCAGATTATCTGGAAATGTGGCATTTGGTGTCTGCTCCAGTTTCTGTGATTGTGATAAAATTCCCTGACCAAAATCAGCTAGGGGAGGAAAGTATTGCTTTGACTTCAGTTTCAGGTCAGAGCTATCATTGAGAGAAGTCAGGACAGGAACTTAGGGCAGGAGCTTCCAGTAGAAACAATGCAGGAATTTAAGCTCTCACGTTGGGGCTATGGAAAGGATAGGCTCTTAGCCTCCTGCTGCCCCTGTTCCTTCTGGTTCCAAGGAGCTGATCAAAGCCTCAGATTTGAGCTGGTAAGTGTGGTGGTCACCAGCTCAGTGTGGCTACTCAGTCCTAGAAATGTAGCCAGAGCAGTAATACGATATAAACATAAAATACCACCATTCCTGATGGGGGATGTCCCTCTATATGTTGTAATTACACGTTTCTCTTATTGGTTGATAAATAAAGCTGTTTCAGTCCATGGACAGGCAGAATTTAGCTAGTTGGGAATTCCTAACAAAGAGGCAGGGAGAAGGAAGAGAAAGGGCAGACACCATATAGCAGCTGGGGAGTCAAAAGACCTGGGCATCACCAGTAAGTGAAGGCCACATGGAGATACATAGATTAATAGAAATTGGTTAATAATTGAGAGAGAGTTAGCCAGTAAGAAGCCTAAGTCATTGGCTAAACAATTGTAGCTGATATTAAGTCTCAGAGTGCTTATTTCATTAAGTGACTGTGGGACCTGGTGAGTGGAGAGAAAACTGGTCCAGTGGGACTGAGATGGATGCAGAAAAATCTCCCTCCAAAGACTTCGTACAGATAAAAGAAATGCAAATGTAAATATGCCATTAATTTTTTTAAAAAGGTGAAGTAAGGCCCAGAGAAATGGCTTAGTGGTTATAAACACTGCTGCTCTTGCAATGAACCCCAGTTTTGGTACCAGCATCTATGTCTTGTAGCTTAAAATTGCCTCTAACTCCAACTCTGGGGATCCAACACCCTCTTTGGGCATCTGAAGTCACCTGCACACTTCTGGCACACCACACACACACACACACACACACACACACACACACACACACACACACACAAATGAAAAGAGGAGCAGTGGAGATAAGCTGATGAAGGCACTTGCTGCCAAGTCTGACAACCTGAGTTAGATCCTTGGAAGCCAAGCAGTATAAGGAGAGAACCAATTCCTATTGTGGAATAATCTTTTTGTACGCTGTGCAGATGTTTCACTCTGATTGGTTTAATAAAAAGCTGAATGGCCAATAGCTAAGCAGGATTTCCAGACACAGAGAACACTGGGAAGATGAAGGGAGACAGGGAGGAAGCAAGAAAGCAGGATGGACACTACACAGATGAGGTAAACGAGCCTGGGGGTGGCACATAGATTAATAGAAACAGGATAATTTGCTCGGTGGTGTTGGCACACGCCTTTCAGCCCAGCACTTGGGAGGCAGAGGCAGGAGGATCTCTGTGAGTTCAAGGCCAGCCTGGTCTACAGAGAGTGCCAGGATAGGCTCCAAAACTACACAGAGAAGCCCTGTCTTGAAAAAACAAACAAACAAACAAACATAATTTATGATAGAGCTGGTTAAATACAAGCCTAAGATACTAACTGAGCTTTCATAATTAATAAGAAGTCTCTGAGCTGGGCGTTGGGGGCGCACGCCTTTAATCCCAGCACTCAGGAGGCAGAGACAGGCGGATCTCTGTAAATTCGAGACCAGCCTGGACTACCAAGGGAGTTCCAGGACAGCCTCCAAAGCCACAGAGAAACCCTGTCTCGAAAAAAACAAAACAAACAAACAAACAAACAAAAAGAAGTCTCTGTGTTGTTATTTGGGAGCTGGTGGGCAGCACAGGGACAGACTCCCTACAAATTCCCACAAATGGTCCACTGACCCCTAAAGATGCAATATGGTGTGAATGTGCACACACAGCACACTTACACATATACAGCTACACACACACACCTGCCCACCAAATAAATGCAAAAGTTAAAAATAGGTGGACCTGGTGATGCAGGCCTATAATTAGGAGGCTGAGGCATGAGAATTGCAAATTCACAACCTTCCTGGTGGAACTTCTCTGGGTTACAGAGTCAGTTAAAGGGTAGCCTGGTTAATTTAGTGAGATCAGTCTCAAAACTAAAATTTAAAAACAGGGCTGGGCATGGGGCTTAGTGATAAGGCAATCACATAGCAAGGATGAAGCTTTTAGTACTGGCCTAATCTCCAGTAGCAAAAAGGAAAGCCAGCAAACAAAAACAATTCAATGACATGCTATATGCGTTGATTTTCTCATTGTTCTATCAAATGCCCTGACAAAAGGCCAGGAAGTGGGGAGGAGGCTATTTTGGCTCACTGTCTGAGTGCACGGTCCACTGTGGGAGGGAGGTCATGGTGACAGGAGCTTGAGGTGGCTGGTCATGCCGAACTCCAAGCTAAGACACAGAAAACGGTTGTTTCTGCTCAGCCAGCTCTCCTGTTTGTTCAGGACCCTGGACCACAGAATGGTGCTGCCCACGCCCAGTGGAGGTGGGTTTTCTCATCTCAATGTAATCTAGATAATTCTTTTCCAGACATGTGGAGTGGCTAACCTAATCTAGGGGTCACTCACAGGTGTACCTTAGAGGCTTGTCTTCCAGGTGATTCTGGATCCTGTCAAGTTGGCATAATATTTTGGTTACAGTATGAGAATAAATTCTATCTTTTGCCCTTAAAAAGATTTTAAACAATTTTATGTGATGAGTGTGCTGCCTGCATGTACCCTGTGTACCACATACACGCAGTGTTCACAGAGGGCATCAGATTCCCTAGAACTGGCCGTACAGATGTGGACAAGACTAGTAACTGAACCCAGGTCCTCTGCTAGTGCTTTTAGCCACTGAGCTCTCTCTCCAGCCCAGACTATCTTTTGTATTTTAAGAGTCACTCTTAGAAAATGTAAAATTACTTTAATCCCAGCACTTGGGAGGCAGAGGCAGGCGGATCTCTGTGAGTTCGAGACCAGCCTGGTCTACAGAGCTAGTTCCAGGACAGCCTCCAAAGCCACAGAGAAACCCTGTCTCAAAAAACCAAAAAAAAAAAAAAAAAAAAAAAAAAAAGAAAATGTAAAATTAGGACCGGGCATTCCTTAATCCAGCATTTTTTGGGGGTGGGGCAGAGGCGTATCTGTAAGAGGGCTTCCCTCAGCATATTCCAGCAACATCCTACAGTTCCCTCCCATCACAGAGACCCACAACGTTCAACCTCAGAACCCTATGAACATCTCCCAAGTGTGGAATGTGGGATCTACTCACCCTCTAGGACCCCCCCTCCCTGTTTCCCTCAAGGTTGCACAGGGAAAGTTTGGATTGTCCTTTTCTCCTGACCCTAGTGAGCCTCTGGAATCTTCCAGAGGAGTTGCTTCTTCAGACTCAAGTGCAGGGCTGCCGTAAGGCCAGGAGCCTCATTTGACCCAGGATCCAGGCAGAGTTTGTGAGTATAAGGACTTTGAGACTTGAGTGCCTTCCAGACATCTGTCTGTCATCTCTGCCCCTTCTTGGATCAGGTCTCTTCTGGCTAAGGGAATCGCTCCATCTGCCAATCCCTTGAGATTTTTTTTCCTCTTGGTTTTTTTGAGACAGGGTTTTCCAGTAGCTATAGAGCCAGTCCTGGAACTTGCTCTTTAGCCAAGGCTGGCCTCAAGCTCACAGAGACCCTCATGCTTCTGCCTCTCAAGTGCTGGAATTAAAGGCACGTGCCTCCATAGCTTGGCTGCCTTGAGATTTTTAGGAAGACGTTTAGCAAAGTATTTTCATTACGTGTCCACTTCTCTGGACTCATCTCACCTTCATATTCCATCCTCAAAGCATTTACTGACTCCTCCATGTGGTGGTTTCCAAGAAACGCGACTGTAACTCATCGCTTGTTCCTTTGTGGCACCACTGATCCAGGTGCTACGTAAATCAGCAATGAATAAGGTAGAATTTATTCTTATAGGACAAACAAACAAAGAAACAAGCAAACAAGGAAGTCAAGGAGGGTTTCCTTGTAAACACTGCCACTATTAAAAATTGACTTAACATGAGCTGGGCATTGGTGACACACGCCTTTAATCCCAGCACTCCGGAGGCAGATGCAGGCGGATCTCTGTGAATTCGAGGCCAGCCTGGTCTACAGAGCAGAGTTCCAGGACAGGATCCAAAGCTACAAAGAGAAATCTTGCCTTTAAAAACCGAAAGAAAAATAAATAAAACGTCGAAGCAGTTGTTTCCCTCCTCCGCTCCAGGGGGCGCTGGAGTTCCCGCCGATCGGAATTACCGCTCTAGGCTGCAGCAAGCTTTAGTATCTTTACTTCCGCCAGCGCCCATCGTGAAGAGTGAAGCTTCCTGTCGCGTGGTTCGGGCTGCTGTCTGTCCAGTGCCATCCTCCGAAATCTGTAGACATCTTGTGTGCTCCCGGGCTGTCTGCTCCTCTGCCCAGTGTAGAGCGCCCAGGTGAGTGCAGCACGGTGCGAGGCAGCGCCATTCTCTTAGTGGGGAAACCGAGGCCGGCGAGCAGCCGGTGCACAGCGGGCCCGGGTCTTGAGGAGGCTGCCGAGCCGCGTGCTTCTGTGTCCCAGCCTTCGAGTTGTGGTTGCCGAAGCACCAAACTCATGCCTGTCGCCTACACAAAGCCGGCCTTTGTTTGCGACCCGTGTCCCGTGTTTTTAGGATCCTTCCAAGGCGTGGACCAGAGCTTTTAAGTCGAGGACGCTCCCGGGACCCTGGCGCAGCGTCGCGGTGGTCAGCTTTGCACTGCAACCCTTAGCGTGTGCTTTCTTGTCAGGCCGGTTGGCTGTGCAGCCCTCCTGGAAACCGATGGAAGCTCCGTGGGTCGGCAGATTGCGGCTTCTGCAGCAGCTGGGGCCTCCCTACTCTCTTCAGCTCACCGGTGGGCGCCCACTGTCCAGGGAGAGGATGCTTGGGTAAGTGCTGCCGCACGGATGCCGCCGCACGGCCTTCCGGTGGGCACCAGCAGGGTGGTGTGGAGGTCAGAGAGAAGCCTGGTGGGGGCCAGAGACACCGAGGCCAGGTGGCTGGTGTTAAGTTGCAGACCCGGACAAACAGCTGAGGTGTCTGTTAAGCCGACCAGGCCTCCAGGTTTCTCCCAACATCCCCCAGTCTCTACCTGTTACAGGGTATGGCTGGCTGGCATACCCTACCTCTCCCTACCCTGAAGTCTACAGCCCAGGGGCTGGGTCCTCTCCCCCACGTGGTCTTCCCTGTATAATCCAGAAGTTTTGTTCCTTACCGTATTTGGACCTTTGGGCCTCCTGGCTGCTGCACCTGGTTCCCCTCTCTCCTGTCTTACTTCCCCTCCCCGCTTCCCACGTGGCCCAGCTCCCTCTGATCAGATCCATTCTGGGCTCTAACTGTGCTCTCCCACATAGCTATAATGAACTTTTTCCTCCACCGTATCTAGTAGCAGTCATGTCCTTTACTTTCCTCTTTCTTTCTTTTCTTTCTTTCATTCCTTCCTTCCTTATTTTTTTCCATTCAGTTGTTAAGCCACAGACAACAGAATGACGAGACTCTGGGTACAGTTCAGGTCCATGTTGCGTATTGGGAATCCCTTACAGATTTCAAAGGAAGTGGAGAGGGGAGAGTCCTTGCCACGTGGTTTGCTGGCTGGCAGCTTCTGTGTCTGGTATTCTGGGTGCTGTTCAGGTGGTTCACCTGGGCTTATCGCTTGCAGAAATAACAGCTTGGGTGCACAACGGCCGTAAGAGCTGTCTCCATCCTGCCAGACTGACGGACCATGGTGCTCCCGAGTGAGGATCGTCCCCTGGCATCTGGAGCTCCCACATGAATATGCGCAGTTTCCCAGACGGCATTTGAGTGTGTGGAGGTGAGTTAGGTTGAGTTCATCAGATCCACGTTTGCCTTCTTGGGGCCTTTGAGGCATGCCTGCTTCTTGCTGAACCCACTTAGGATCTGTGTCCTCGGTCCCCCTGTTCTGGTGTACTTTGGTGGGTTGTCAGCAGGAAGGATTTGGGGGGCGTCGTCCACTACCCATATCTCAGTCATTGCTCTCTGCTACATCTGTACCTTCTCTGGTCCTTGGTTTCCTCATCTGAGAATGGGGGCTAATGGTCCCTGTGTCTGTCAGCTGCAAGTCTAGTGGCCAGGGCTAGTTAGAATAGTCACCACTCCCAACCAGTCTTTATTTATTCTATGCAGTGTCTGCGTGTATGCCTGCAGGCCAGGCCAGGGCACCATGCCTCCTTACAGACAGTTGTGAGTCACCATGTGGTCACTGGGAAATGAACTCAGGACCTCTGGAAGCGCAGCCAGTGCTCTTAACCACTGAACCATCTCTCCGGCCCCCAGAAACAGCTTCCTCTCTCTCTACTGCAAATCTGGCTGTCACCTGTCTATCCATCTGTTTCCAGTGTAACCATTTCCCGGTTTGTTGGCCATAGCCTTCCCTCTCAACTTGCCCACTGCTCTTTGTGCCCCTGTATTCGAAAGTGATCATGGGCTGCCTGTGCCCTGGTCATTGATAGTGCAGGGAGAGGATGCGGAAAGCCTTTCCCCGTGTTTGGAGGAGCCACACCTGTCCTTACCAAACCCTGGTGCTTTCCCACATCACTTCCTGCCTGTTGAGGCCCCCTGCTGCCTACCAATGAATCTGGGGCTGGCCTCCAGGGTTTGGAGCTCAGTGGTTGGTCTTTTCCTTCAGAAGTTCCACACCCGTTGTCACCTCAGGATACCTGAGACCTTGTAGAAAGTGTTACCTTGCTTGACTCTTAGCATGCATCTCCGCTCTGTTCTGTCAGTCAAGAATCAGGGTTCTGACTGGAACAAATAAAGGACGGTCCCTTGTTGTGAGGCATTGTCTCCTGTAAACTGAGGGAGCAGCCAGCACAGGGAGAGAACAGGTCTTCTGTTCTCTCCTTGAGGAATTCATCACCTTCCATCACTGCCTTGGGTAGCCACCTGGGAAGGGTTTTTCTCTCCTCTCCATGGGAACAGGCGGACAGCTGGACAACAGAATGATCCACATGTCTGTGCTGCCTTTACAGCCAGGTGCACCCCAGTGCCACTAGAGAACAGTGCTCCCCAGATACCATGGCCCTGCTGTGCTTCTGAGCAGCCCACACGGCTGAGCATCAGGCTTGTCTCCAGAGAGCTCCGGTGTCTCCTCCAGGTAAGATGCCAGTCCATTGTGACTGCCCAGGTAGTCGTAGCAGATAAGTCAGATGCTCAGCACTGTTCAGAGAGGCCTGCTCAGGGTGTCAGTGCTTGAGAGAATCTAAAAGCTGGCTCTGCCCAGCCTGGAGCGTCTGTCTGCCTGTGAGCCCCTGGAGTGTTGTTTTTTCTCTGTTGCTTTGGTGGCTGCGTGGGGGAGGTGAGGATGAGAAGGGGGTGGTGTGCAGATCCTTCCAAACTCTGGATCATACCTGGCACTTCAGAGCCCTGCTACACGAGATCTTTGGGCTTCTCCAGTGTTGGTGAGCTCCTGTATGTATATCCACCATCCCCCTCATCCCCCTCTGACTTTTCTCTGTCATTGCACCAGGTAGCAGTGATCTGTCAGCAGTGTAGGAAAAATACATATCTGGCTGATAAGGGAAATGAAGGGCTTAGGGTAGTGTGGAGCATCTATTTTGGCTTCTTGAAGCACCCTCCTTCAGCATCAGAGAGCAGAACCCACTCCTCCCCCATTGGCAGAAGTGCCCCCCCAACATGTATGTGCCTTGCTTCCCCCTGGTAAGCTATATCTTGGTGGCTAACTTTTTTTTCTGGTGCTGGTTACATACACCGGCTGTCCAGTGACTAGTAATCGAACCTCACTGGTGGAAAGCAGGGGCTCAGTGTAGACATGTTTGCCTTGAGTCCCCAGGCTCCACGAGAGGCATCCTTATGTATTTTGAATCTCCATTTGCTAGCTTGGAAAACCAAAACCACGACACAATTTTTTTATGGACGTGAGTTCATAGGACTGTCTTCCAGTCCCAGCAGGTTTCTGGGAGTTTTGTCAGTTGAGTATCCCTAAGTCTCCTTTAGTCTTTTCTGCCCCTGTATCCGAAAGTGATCTTAGCTGCCTGTGCTCTGGTCATTGGTAGTGCAGGGAAAGGATGCTGAAAGACTTGTTCCTGGATTTGGGGTGTCTGTCCTGACCCCTCAAAAGCCTGGAGCCTTCCTACACTCTTCAGCCTTATAGCAGTCTGTCACTTTCTGGAAGCTACACAAGTCAGTGCTGGGTCTTTGCAGCTTGGTGTCCTGTTTCTTGAAATTTTTGAGGTGGTAGGCCAGCACAGATTTCCAAAGAGTCGTATCTGAAGGCATTGTTCCTTGTCAGGTTCCTAAAGTTCTCACATGGGGCAGAGGGAAATGGCTGAGTGAGCAGAGCTATGCGATAGGCATGTCCTTAAGTGTGTGTTGTGAGAGGGGGAGCTCCCTGGTTCCTCATTTGTGTGGCCTGAAGTATGCATTGGCATCACTTGCAAACCATGGTTCTTAGCCATTTTTTCTTCTGCCAATTGTCTAGGCCTATGGAACTTTAAATTTTAAAGTGTGTGGTTTGCAGACCAAAATATAAGCTATTTATTTTTTATGTATATGTGTGAATGCACATATATTATACCATGTGTGTGACTAGTGCCCATGAAGAGTTTATTGGGGAATTAGAGTTTGAGAGGGTAAGTTCATGACCAGCATGGTGGCAGGCAGACAAGCAGGCTTGTCCTTGCTGAACGGTAGCTAAGAGCTGCTTGAGGTTCAACCACCAGGCAGAGAGCGGACTGGGAATGGCGTGGACTTTGAAATCTCAAGGCCTCCCTCACCATGACACACGCCTCCTCATCCTTCTCAAACAGCTCTACCAACTAGGGACCTAGTATTCAAATATATGAGCCTATGGGGCCATTCTCATTCAAACTACCTCACACATCCAAACTGCTTCTTAGGTGGGGAAAAACAATTTCTTTAAGATCACAAGTTACAGTGTATTCAGTATAGGGGAGGAGATGAACCTGTAGTCCTGAGGTGATAGCCAGTGCTCATAGCCGTCACCTGTGGGGGATGGGTAAAGGGAAGGTGGGGAGCTGGGAATGTGTCTCAGTGGTAAAGCACTGGAGCGGTGTTGAGTGTGCGTGAGGCCTTGAGTTCCCAGGAAGAGCGTCACCTTGTAGCCCGCCCACCCGCGACTGGTAGCTGTGTTCTTGTTAAACATCCTGGTGAACTGTTTATTGTGGCTTGTCTCTGTAGGATTGTCAGCTGATCTCTGCCATGTCTGTCAGCAGTCCTCAAGTTTCAAGAAGTGGCCGGAACAGCGTCCTTGCCAGGTGTTAATCCCAGATGCTTCACAGGAGAGCCCCAGTTGTCCAGCAAAGACCTCTGTCATGAGGAAAAGCAGAAGCTGCTTCCCCACCCAGGCCAGCAGGGACATGCCTCCCTCAGCCTCTGCCACCTCACTTCTGTACATCTTTGTGGGGTGAAGTGGATGCTTACAGAGCCACTCGGCACAGGAGCCCCTGGGACGTCATGTTCCCCTCAGTTCATTCGGGTATGTAGTGCTCTGGGTTGAGGAGGGACTACGTTTGGGGGTGAACTTCTGTGGGAGTACTTGTCAGGAAACAGCCCATCCCTGACTTGCTGACCTAGTGGGAATCTCAGCAGTGCTCCCCTGCTTGTCCTGTCCCTCCTGCTCTTTAGTAGGAGACCATTGAAGTAATGGTTCTCAGACTGGCTTCTGAAGCAAGCACTGCCACCGTCATCTTGCAGCACGTGAGAGAGCATGCCTGGAGCCAGCGGTATTTAGCAAGTTCTCCAGGGGATTCCTAGCAGTGCTGCATTTGAGAAGTTACTTCAGGGACTGTAAATAATGGTCACTGTTTTCTGGCCACTTGTCACAGCTTGGGCCTTTTCTAAGCTGCCCATAGTGGCTTCCCTTCTGCCCCTGTATTCGAAAGTGATTCTGGGCTGCCTGTGCCCTGGTCATTGATACTGCAGGGAGAGGATGCTGAAAGCCTTTTCCCCGTGTTTGGAAGGTCTGTCCTTGCCAAACCCTGGTGCTTTCAAACAAATCTTCCTTCTCACAGCCTCTTGGTCCCCTGGCTGCTGCCACCAGACTCTCTGAATACCCTCTACCAGCGCTGGGCAGTGCTACAGAGGCTTGTGGAAGAGAAGTAGAAGCTGGTTTCTACCTTGAGGGGTTTTATTCTGGCCCAGTGAGCCTCAGTCACATGGTGTTGTGGAACATCCTTTCCTGCCTCTCATGACTGCAGAAGAGAGGCCTCCAGGAGCCTGTGTGGCAGCAGGCTGGCATGCCCGTACCGTGCAGTGGTGGGAGATGGGTAAATGTGGGCAGCCTGTCTGGCTGACAGTGAGGGGCTTTGTGGTTATGTAGGTGGAGATCTAAAGCATTGTTCTCTCTTTTTTAAAATAGGTGTTCGTGTACACCAGAGGGCCAGGGAGGGAGTGGACAGCAAGACCATCACTCCAAGTGAAACTGGAGACTGCCCACTCAGCATCATGGAACAGCTTTTTATTGTGTTTAGTAATGGCATGGCAGACTCCTGCACCTTGGAGGGCTGTCCTGTCCCCATCTGCTAGTGCCTGCAGTGACTAGTGACAAGAGCGTTTCTGTTGAACTTGTTGCCAGCTTTTCTGCTACCTCCTCAATTGTGCAATAAACTTTACAGATTAATTCAGTCTGTCTTCTAATTCCGTGTCACCTCATGAGCTCACAGGGCTGGGTGTGGAAAAGGAAGGCCAGTTCCTGTCATTCCTTGTGCCTTGCCTGTTCTTCATGCTCCCATGAGGCTTGGCTTCAGGGTGTTGGAAGTGGACAGACAGGGCCATAGCCTTTGAGCCTTTAGGACTTGTCAGAGTTGAGAGGTTGCTGAGCAGTTCAAGGTCAGGGTTTGGGAACGTGCCTGTGTCAGAGTTGTGTGAGATTGATCCTTTGTCAGTAAAGAAGGCTTGGGTGTCCTAGGATTCTAGGACCAGTTGAGGGGCTTCCTGGGAAGTGAGACCTTGCTAAAACTAGAGGTGAATGGGCAAAAGGACTGGGATGTAAAGTGGAATCCTGATGGGGTAGATTACTGTAGAAAGGTGGGAGCAGTTGCTGTGGGAACTGAGGTATGCTAAGGAGGCTTTGGAGGCCTTTGGGGTACAGAAGTGCTCCCACCGGGTGAGAGGATGGGATGGTGGAAGGGAAGAAACCCTTTTGAGGAAGAACCATTGTGTACCAACAATACCAAAAGAAAATGGAAGGGTGCGATTACCGATAGGTTTGTAACTTTACTATTTAAGAAGTTGAGAACCCAGCCAGGCGGTGGTGGCTCACGCCTTTAATCCCAGCACTCGGGAGGCAGAGGCAGGTGGATCTCTTGTCAGTTTAACATAGTTTTGATGTTTAACAAATACAGCAAGGGATTATGATAGAGGTTAGTTTAGTAGTTATTGTAGGTAAAGGTGGATATAGTGTTGCTTCTGCCCCTGATAAAGCGGGGACTGTAAAGGGTAGAAAATAAGAACAAAGTGTCACACAGCTAGGACCTAAAGTTTTTCTTGAGCTGAATAGACTGGTTCAGGTTAATGAGTAAGGAAAACAAGTTCCAGGAACTAGTTCAAGTTATTTTTGATGTTGTGAAATGTATTCATGGGTTTCGGTGTGCATCATAGCTAAAGCAAAGCTTTACTTTATGTAACTAAAACACAAAGAATTGGACTCTAAAATACAAAAAGCGAAACTAGAGACCTGTTTCTCCGGCAATTATAAAAACTGGAAACGGTGTGGCTGGAAGTCTCCTGATTCATGAAAAGTCTAAAAGATAAATGTTTAACTGTGGATTCTTGGAGATAATTTGTTTTTCACCTGTAATATGTAAAATGTTTAATCATGTAAGGAATAAGGAAAACATGTTTTTTACTTGTATTCATTGTAATCATTCGCTTAAAAAATAAAATGTAACCACGTTGTAATTTTTTTTTAAAGATTTATTTATTATGAACACAACACCCTGCCCCCATGTACGTCTACACGCCAGCAGAGGGCACCAGATCTCATTACAGATGGTTGTGAGCCACCATGTGGTTGCTGGGAATTGAACTCATGATCTCTGGAAGAGCAGTCAGTGCTCTTACCCTCTGAGCCATCTCTCCAGCCCCCACGTTGTAATTTTTATATTGCTTGAAAGATTCTGCTTACATATAAGCTGTAAGGGAAGAAAGTAAGTCAGAAGGAAACACCAGGAAAGATGGAGGAGAAGAGAAGACATCAGGACATAGTGTGGAAGGAAGCTGTCAGGAAAGAGCAAGAAGGGAAACATCACGGTAGAGGTACAGAAGAGAAAAAGAATAGAGTAGAACAAGAAGGATAATGCCAGGTGTTGGTGGCGCATGCCTTTAATCCCAGCACTCGGGAGGCAGAGGCAGGCAGATCTCCGTGAGTTCGAGACCAGCCTGGTCTACAGAGCGAGTTCCAGGACAATACAGAGAAACCCTGTCTCGGAAAAAAAAAAAAAAAAAGAACAAGAAGGATAATGAAATAAAAGAAGCCTTATTTTTCTTGCCTATTCTGCATCTCGTTCCCAGTGTCCAACCTGCTGAAGGCTGGTCCTGCTGGCGGGGTGGGCCTTTTCCATCCTGAGAAGGTACCAACTGGCATTCGTCTTAACACTTTTGACATTGCTTTTGTTGATGTGGTTTATAAGCACCCTGGATATCTGTCATTTGAGCTAGAGGAGTAATGGGTCTAGGAATGTTCTTGAATATTTTTGTAGTGAGGACTCCTAATGTTACTGGACACTTACCAAGGCTGGAATTGACAGTTAACTTCTTTCTGGCTTTTGGACATTCCATTTACATTGGTTACTGTACAAGTTTATTAATAAAGAGTCCTGAATGATTAAGGCAGAAAATGGAGTCCCACTATTGGAAGGAAGTTAACATTGGTACCTGTCACACCAAGAGTGACTTGAAGCATCTTGGTGGCCATCTGTATTCATGTGAGTGGGACTTTTACCATGGAATCTTGGGTAGTGTCTTTAAAGACACTGGAGCTTTCCTCCTCTGCAGCGGAGAAAACGTTTGTTTCTTAGAATGTTGTCCAGGGTGGTCTTTGCCCAGCACCCTGCTTTCCCGGGGCAGCATTGCCCAGTTTAAAATCCTCAGCAATGGGTTCCTCTGAGGTGTTAGTTTATTATCTACCTGGGTTAGAGTTATTAATTTGACTTGTTATTGTGTTTTTGATAATTTCTTCTGGTCCTTTTGGACTGTTTCTAATATTGAAAGTCCCCAAAGCTGAATTAAAAAGTTACCTTGCCATATCTGAGGCTCCACTGTCTCCTTTGCTGCGGTCAAATGTCTGGGACAGACTGATAAAATGAGCACCCAGCAGTATCTGACTTAATACCTTTAATTGTCGTAAACTTAACCACACACGTGCCATCACTTTTGCATAGAGCTTACATCTCACTTTTATTTTTCATTCCCATTTTAGAAAAATCTCTGCATTAGAACAAAATGAAGCCCTTTCTCAACTGAAAGCATTCTCACCCCACCCTACCCCCCTTTTTGAGTCGTGTGCTTGTCGTGCTTAACAGGTGAACAAGCTAAGGCACAGACAAGAGTCTTTGCCTCAATCCTTTCGTTCCAGGAGTGGCAGTGCCCAGTGAAAGCAGACACCTGGCCATCAGCAGATTGTTTTTCAGAGACCTTCCTTTCTGTTTGAACAACAGACAATGGCAGGGCAAGAGCCAGAGCAGTAACTAGGGAACGGACTTCGGCAGTTGTGTAAGAGGCATCCGCAACTTGGTTTACAGAGGTGGAGACAGAGGACAGGAAGGAGCTCTTGGTGCAAGGGTGGAAGAATGAGGCGTAGTGTTAGACAAATGAAGCTAGAGTCAGAGAAGTACGTAAAACACAATACTGTATTTGTGCTGAAAATGAATACATATATCTACTTATGTATTTAGATTTACATGCATATAGTAATATCTACACATATTTATGTATTATATAATTATATAGTTTTAGTGTGCTTCTCTGTTTTGCTTTTCCTAGTATGTAATCTTCATTATAATAAGCTTTAGGCATCTTTTTGGCCAGAAGGAGATTTGAATGCCAAAGGGGACAGAAATGTCTGTGTTTGACTTTCAAACACAGGACCATGCAACAGGAAATAGCGAGGTGGGCTGGGTTTCTTTAGGCCTCTCTATTACTCCTTAATGCTAAGGAGTAATACTAAGGAATTGTATGACCTGTCCCATGGAATTTTTCAGATATGTGAGGGAAAAGCTTTTGTCCACTATGAAGGCTTAGCTGGGACCAGGAAGAGTGTGGAAATAATCATGGGCCACAAAAGAGAAGTGCATTGCTTTTCTGACCTTGAAGGACTGAGGAAGGAGGAGGACAGAGAACCCTGTGTCAGGAGGCTAAGGAGGGTGTCCCAGCTGGAGAACTGGAGGAGAGCAGAGAGCATGAAGTCTCCATTTCCCTTGCCGGGACTCTGGCTTGGAGGCTGCAGGTGTGTGGCTGGAAGGAAATCACAGACTCTGCTTGTCACTTAGCAACTGTAAGAAGCCACCTCACACTGTCCCCCACCTCGACCTGTAGAATAGCCAGGACAACAGGACACCATGGTGGGTGAGGCAGAGGTAGGTGTATCAGTGAGCTAGAGATGCAATAGCAAAATGCCACGTTCTGGTGGCTTAGGTTGGTAGACTTATTCTCTCACAGTTTTGGAGCTGTCAAGTCCAGGGTCAAGGTGCCAGCTGGTTCAGTGTTTGTGCGTGTTTTCTGAATGGCATGCAAAAGGCCTCCTCCTTGCTGTATCCTCACATGATGGGGAGAGAGAATGGCCTCCCTGGAGCCTTTGTAATAAGGACACCTATTCTTCCTTACTAACTTTCCTAATCCTCCCTATCCTCAAATACAGTCCCATTGGAGGTATTTGAACAAACAAACTGGGGAGGTGTTGACACAATTCAGTCCAGAGCAAGTGAGGGCGTGCAACATTGCCAACAAGCTCAGGAGATGAGGAGCTAAGGGTAGAGCTGGCTAGAAGTCATAGTAGCAGGTCTACCTTCTGCTTAGGAGCTGGCAACAGCCATGGTGAGTGGTTGTTAGCACTTGACAAAGATTTATCAAAAGAATCAGTGAGTGTCATTCGAGGGCTTCCCAGGTTCTCCAGCCTCTCAAAGTCACCTTTTCAGTGGGTAGCCAGGGTAGTAGCTTTGCTCAAAGCTGTTTTTTTTCCAGTGCTGTTTTGTTCCAAGCATCCTTAGGGTGCTGGGCAGGAAGGACCTGCTCTGACTGATTCCTACCTCCGCTTCCACTTTGCATGTGGAGTCCTGGTTCAGGGTAGCATCAAGATGTCTTCCTGCGCATTAGGCAGAACAGCTTGGGCAGGGATTCAGCAGAAAGAAAGCCAGAGACTAACAGTCTTCTGTCTTGGTGTAAGAAGACAGGTGATCAGTAGGCACATCACACAGTTGCAAGTGCAAAGAAACCCTGAAACAGAGAGGAAGATGGACAGGAGGTGCGCACTCTTCCATCAGGCAGGAATGCAAGCGTGGCTGGTCAGGTGACGTTCAAGACACTTGAGGTAAACATGGCTATAGCTGTTTATCTGTCTAAAAGAAGAAAGTGCCTCGCACAGGAAACAGCTCAAGGTCGCTGGCAGGCAGACACTTTTTCACA